GTTCGTGTTCGTTCGATAAATAAACGAACATAATTTCATGTTCGAGTTCGGTTCGATTGCTAAACGAACAAGATGTTATCGAACACGAACGAGCATTGTTCGCGAACATCTCGGTTCGATTGCAGCCCTAACTGCGGACAAGGTGATGTCGAGCTCTTGGTACTTGGTACTCGTTGATCAATGGTTTTGATCAACTACAAGTACCGATTAAGTATCGATTAGGCGTCGGTAATCAAGTAATTATGCAGTTTAAATTAAGTGATTAAAGGTTATTTTGCACAAGGAGGAGTTTACAGAAGTCTGACTTCATGGGTTCTAGCTCGGATGCTCTGCTTTAACTCTTGTATTAATCACGATATTTAATGTTCATTACAGGGAGATAATTTTCTGTCAGGAAAAAAAATTTTCGATCCTCTTCCAAAATGGATTCATAAGACTATTTATAGTAAATTACTATACCCGATTATTGTTCATCGGGTTACATCAATTTAATGACGACTGACAGACATTTAATGTGGACATGCCACCCTAAGGACCTAGAGGACATAGGCTTGCATGCAAGTGAGATTATTATAATATTGCTTTCTTCAATGCGCCTTTGTGCTCCGACCTCGACGACGCCTTGAGGCCCGATTGTTAACATTTAATCCTATCTTTATTTCCAATCGGCCTCAGTTTATGGGAGGACAACTTGGATTCTTGAGGGGGATTCGACCTGAACTCCTGTCTTCTGTACTTAGAGATGATTTCCTTTATTTCATTCGCGTTTGTACTATTACACTCTGACTTAACTTATTTTCAACTCGAATGTCAATAGTACTGGAGTTTAGGCACAAACTTTTATCGAGCCGAGTTGAGTTCAACAAGCCGATAAAAGAGCTTGAGCTTCTTTCGTTAATAAACTGATACAGTACAACACCCGTGTATCACACGAGTGCTTGTTAAAAAAATATTCTTAAATTTTAAGTTAATGAAAAAAATATTTTAAATCTTATTTACTTTTTTACTAAAAATATATATTATTATATATTTTTGAATGACACGTGTTACTTGTACGACTTACATGTGTTATATTATAGTAACTTTTATAACTTATATCATATAACTACTTGAAATATAAATATATTAATTGATAAATAATTTTAATTTTCTAATTAATATTAAAATATATTTATTAATGTTCTAGAGATAAATATAATTTATTTTTGTATACATACAATATGAATGTTAAATCGAAACTCATCAAGAGATGATATATTTCAAAATGAAACTTATTACTTGTGCGACTTACATATGTTATATTATAGTAAATTTTATAACTTCTATCGTATAACTACTTGAAATATAAATATATTAATTGATAATTAATTTTTATTTTCTATTTAATATTAAAAAATAATTTTATTATTGTTATAAAGATAAATATAATTTTTTTATACATACAATATGGATGTTAAATCGAAACTCATCAATAGATGATTAATTTGATATATTATATATGTAAAAAAAACTGATAAATACAAAAGTTATTAACTTTTAAAATACATTTACAATTCAATGGTTATAATAAGAAATTATATTAAAATGCATCTAGTACGTAACACCGTGCAACACACGGACTGTTTGTGTTGGTAAAATTTATAATTAAAGGCTATTAATCAATAAGTTATAATACGTAGAGCGTTTGTCAGATAATCATATAAAATGTTCATCATGAAAAAATAATACATTATAAATTTCTCTTGTTTTTCCATACAAAATTATTTTGCATTTGACAACTATAGATCGATATCTTCCAAGATGCTCTCCACTTGGTAATTGCGAATTGCATAGACACCTCATTTCTCTAATTATTTGTTGATTTTTGGATTGTTAACACCACAAAATAAAATTATAGTGAAAATATGTATGTGATAAACTAACGATATGATTGTTGATGGTCGTAACCACCAGCCTTCCCCACTTTGGGGGTCAGACCCCCGGTGGGCCATGACCATGCACCGGAGACTCATGAACTTCCACAATATGTTCGAGTCTTACGGTGGAATGGTATGTACCAGGACTTGCCATGAACCTCACCTTATGCTCAGGATGCAGAGTTCGAATCCTGGGGAAGCCAAAAATTACAGAAAACTCAAAACATGGGTTTTCACCCTAGGACTAGTGCATTGTAGAAGTTCATAAGTTCCCGTTGCATGATCATGGTCCATCGGGGGTCCGACCTCCAAATGGAGAAGGCTGATGGTTACGACCATCAACAATACTAAAAACTGAGGTGCCTATAAATAAATGATTCGATAATCTTCACAAATTCAATGGCATAAAAATATACCAAACACTAGGTCTCATATATTAATGACGAGTTTGATACAAAATACACCAAACAAGAGGACTTTTACTGACGATAAATTTGATACAAAGACGGAGAACTTGATCTTCTAAAAACTATAATAATGAAAAAGTAACAAGGAAAAATAAAATTAACCAAGCTTGGTGAATTGTTTTATTAGCTATGATTATTGAAACTGCCGAATCAAACACGAATTCAACGTTCTTAGGCTTTACGCATGCGGGTGGAGACGAATCGGAAGTCCTTTCTCAGGCGTCATGAAGGGGTCAGCACATATTTTCTCTTCCGGAAGTACTAATTCCCATTTGAACCTTCGGACGAGATTGTGCAGAAAGATGAGGATCTCCAGCCGAGCAAACTCTTTCCCCACGCACATTCGAGGTCCTCCTCCGAACGCAACAAAAGAATATGGTACAGGACCCGAACCATCGAATCTTGATGGATCAAATTTTGTCTCGTCCGGAAATAAGCTAGGGTCATTATGGACCGATTGCATATTCCAGTAGAACTGTTGTTTGTTGCATGATTCGGACAATAAATCATTAGCTTAGAGTGGTAATACTTATTTCATAAACCTTTGTCTTCCAAACAATCATGATATTAATGTTTGTCTTAATACATAATCTATATAGGAGGGTAAGAAAGGTAAACAATCCTCAACTGACCTCTTACGTGAAAACTCATTCCAACTGACTATTTCGTTACAATTTCTATTGAAGTCTATTAGAAAATTGTAAAGGAAACAATAGCATTGGAATATTCATTGGAATTGCCATTGAAATTTCATTCAAATATATTTCCGTTAGAATTTCATATCTATATAGGAGGGTAAGAAAGGGTAAACAATCGACTGCAACTTGTACTGTACGTGTTTTTTGGACTTTGCATCTTACAGTATTTTCCGTGGTAAAATGCAATAAAAAAGAAGAGAAAAGGTTTTCACCTTCCATCCCTTGGGTATGTCATAACCTTCATAGGTTATGTTCTCCAAAGCCTCTCTATAGGCACCAATCACCGGCGGCCACATCCTCAGAGTTTCGCACACGACATTCCACGAATATCTCATCCTCTGTATATCCTCCCACTGCAAACATTCTCCCGGCTTCTTTGACGATGCTATTTCATTTTGCTCTGCTTTTTTCGAAGTTCGAATCAATATAATGGATTAATTTTCACTCTCAAGCAATACATAAACATAAAAAAAAGGGGGTGAAATTAAAAACGGACCTCTCAATACCATCTCATAAACCTCTGGATGTTCGGCTAGAGCCTTCATTAGCAAAGTTATCGTGCAAGCCGAGGTGTCGTGCCCGGCCCATAATAAAAGTAGGACATTGTTTACTATAACTTTTTCGGACATAAACTCCCCATTGTCATCGGGCGTTTGGAGCAAATGAGACAAAAGGTCCTGTGGAGGCGAAGCCGTTTGTCGTTCCAAGTCCTTTTTCCTCTGCTCGAGTATTATTCGGAGTTCCTTTCGAATTGCATCGGCAGCTCTCTTTCCGCGGTAGTATTTTGTTCCCGGGAAATCGAGAGGGATCGACAGAATTCCGGAGAGGAAAACGTTGAAGTGGGAGAAGAGCTTCTTTGTGAGTGATGAATCTTCTACGCTCATGAACAATCGACACGCCACCTCGAATGCGTACAGTTTGATTGTTGGGAACACCTTTAGCTCATCTTTGCCTTCAAAAAAATTAGTTAGTTATTAACTACAAAATTGCAACAAATGTGGTCAACAGGTCAAACATAGAATACCAAAATTGATTAAACTGCCAAGTGAATGAATTTTACCTTATAAATATATGGAAATACTAAGATCATGTTACAGAATCATTCTGTCGAGTTTTGTAACCGTCAGAAATAGTTGATCTAACAGTTACAAATACCGACAAAATGGTTCCGTAACATGACTGAAGCATATTCCATAAATATATTGTATACTTGCAATCCTTTTTTAGTATTTTATAGCTGCCATTAACACATGGTGTGATAGACTCATTCAACTTTCTTAATATTATATTCATAAGGGTTTAAATATGGGTGATTATTATATTATTATTATTATCCAATAATTGTACTAACGATCCAATAATTGAACTTGTATATTTGAACATCTACGGATTTCAAATCTCTCAATCCAAACGTAGCTTAACGTTTACCTTGCCAATGGAAGTCCAAGTGCTGTCTAGACGCGAGATCGACGGTCCGGAGATAAAGTTTCGAGAACGCATCGGGACTTAAAAAGTGCGCGAGCCGCCGCCTCATGCGCAGGCCTTCCGCACCTCCGGTCGTCGCCAAGCACGTCCCGATCAAGTCCCTAACGGAAGCCGGCCACCACACGGCCACCTTCTTATTCTCGTTGCCGAACAAAAACTTGTTCCCGGCCGGGCCCCACAGCACGACCATTCGTTCCCCCAACAACGAAGTCTTGAAAACCCGACTCTTGTAGTTTCGAATCCTGTCGGTGATGAACTTCCCGGGAAATCCTTTGTAATTCGCGCCAAGGAACTCCAACGTCTCGCCGAGAACCGGCCATCCGAGGCTCCCGGGAGGAAGGTTTAGCACCGACCCGTTTTTGGATTTGGTTTTGGTTTTCGACAGACGGGTCGCGGCTATAAAGAGGATTAGAACAGGGGATATAATGAAGATGCATATGGTGATTAAAGTGGCTGCATTGATGTGCAAAGCTGCCATCGAGAAAAATCAAAGCTTATTTGAGGTTGATTATTAGTAATTAATGTTGTTTCAAGCTTGAGAAGACCATTTATAGATCTCTATACAATTGGTATTAAAGTAATGAAATAAAATATTTCCAACACAATACATGTGGAGTTGACATTGAGATTTAAAAAAAAAAAAAAAAAACTGATGTGCCGGTCCTTCAATGCAATTATAATGGTCTGGCTAAATTAGAAGGAACCCAATATTTTGCACCATAAAACTATGTATATATATTTATATTGTAAATATTTATAATGAGATAAAGTTATTAACAATTTTGATGTACAAAATTTGTATACACAAAACAAATATTTTTGTTATTTTTATGTATATTTACATGATAAAAAAATACTATTTAAAAAAAATTAAAATTAATTATCTGGTTTGATAATTGAACCGATGACCTGGAGACATGTTCGGTCGACTCTCGGTTGGGGCTTAAAAACTATGATTGGATGTGTATATCTATATAATTATAGACTATTCAATTAATACAAATCATAAATTTTTCCCGCTATTTTTTTTTCAATTAATGTAGAAGAAAATTAACTGTTATATTTTACATTAATGAAGTGTAATAATAATTTTAAATTATTTTTTTTATATATTAATTACTACTAATACCAACTAATTATAAATATACACTAAATATCATGTGAAAGTTACATATTTATAAAAATTTTATTGCAATTTTTTTCTTTAAGATATTTATTTTACAATATTATTTTTTTTTTTCTTATTAAGCGATTTTTTCTGATATTAGTTGACTGGCTTGAATGCTATAATTAAACTCCTTTGGAATCACGAATTTGTCCGCGATCTCTTTAAGCTACCACTTGCAGATGTTAATTGTTTCTGTGGAGATAAAGGCCAAGTCCCCAAGGTGCCATGTGTTAACAAAAAATGTCATACTAATATAAATCCTTCAGGATGTGGAGGGTGCAGAACCGAGAGAAGGCTTGATGTGATAAAGGCTTTGTAAACACATCTCCTACTTGATCAACTGAAGGGACATGCAGAGAACTTTGAGATTGCCTTTAGCTACCTGCTCCTGCATAAAGTGCAAATCTATCTCTATATGTTTTGTACGAGCATGAAAGACCGGATTAGATGATAGAGAGATTGTGCTCAGGTTGTCAACCCATACAACTGGTGTGTGAGTACAAGTTTTGAGTAAGGATTTAATCCATGTGAGTTCGGTCGCTGCTTGAGCCAAGCTTCTATATTCCGCTTCTGTACTGGAACGAGAGATAGAGTGTTGTTTCTTCGAGCACCAAGAGACAGGATTCTTACCAAGATAAATGCAGATACCCGAGGTTGACCTCCTATCATCTAGGTCATTTACCCAGTCCGAGTCAGAGAAAGCATTAAGGTGAGTACTGGAATTGTTTGTGTAATGAAAACCATGTGAGAGAGTACCAACAAGGTACCTAGAATCGTTTTAACAGCTTTCCAATGAGTATCTTTGGGGCACTGCATATATTGACATACCTTGTTGACACTATAGGAAATGTCTGGTCTTGTAATGCAGCCATATTAGAGAGATCCCACAATACTTCTGTATAAGGTAGGGTTGTCCATGGAAGTGCCTTGATCTTTGGACAGAACTGAAGAAGATATCATGGGAGTAGGTAGTGGCTTGGCATCAAGCATGTGTGTCTTGGTAAGAATGTCTTTGATGTACTTAGTTTGACTAAGTAACAAGCCCTGACTTGTCTTGTTTATCTCAAGACCAAGGAAATGATGTACCTGACCAAGATCTTTTAAGGAGAATTGCTGTCTGAGTGTACCAATCACAGTTGAAATTGCAGCAATGTTGGATCCTGTAATAAGAATGTCATCCACATAGACTAGAAGCCAAATACAAGAAGAGCTGGTATTCTTAATGTAAAGAGAGCAGTCCGAAGATGAGTTTTGAAAGCCAAAGGATAGTAGAGACTGATTTAGTTTAGTGAACCAGGCCCTAGGTGCCTGCTTTAAGCCATAGATAGACTTTTTGAGCTTGCAAACAAAATGAGGGTTGATGGGATCTTCAAATCCTGGTGATTGAGCCATATAGAGTTCCTCTGTAATCTCACCATTGAGGAAAGCATTATTAAAGTCAAGATGTTTGACATACCAGCCATAGGATAGGGCTAAGGAGAGAACAATCATAATTTTTGTTGGTTTAACCACTGGGCTAAATGTTTCATAGAAGTCAATCCCTGCAGTTTGGCTGAATCCCTTGGCAACATGTCTGGCTTTGTGCCTAGCCACACTTCCATCTGCATGTCTTTTTATTTTAAACAGCCACTTACATCCAATGATGGATCTATTGGAGGGTGAGGGGATAAGGTTCCATGTATTGTTCTTCAGTAAGGCCTGATGTTCATACATCATAGCTGCTTTCCAAGTTGGGTGAGTGAGAGCTTCCTTGTATGTTGATGGTTCCTCTTGGGCAGACTGAGCTATAAACACTCTAGGTTTGAGAGAACCTATCTTTGACCTGGTTATCATGGGGTGAGTAGCCACAGGAGCATTAGTAAGAAATGTAGAGTCAGTGTTATTGTCTTCCAAAATTGGCAAATCAACATACAAAGGTACTGTAGGATTGGATGAGGTGTTAGAATGTGAAGAGGATGAAGAATGAGAGGGTGAGGAGTGTGAGCTGACAGGTTGATGATAAGAAGTAGCAGTGTATGCAGGTGAAATGCTTGGAGAAGTGTGAGGCATGTGTTGTGATGGAGTTGCAGATGGAGTACTATGCATTATGGGGGAGGCTGTTGTAAGAATGAGGTTAAGTTATTAAGGTCTGGATGAGGTGTTGAGGGAGTAGAGAATGGGAACTGAGACTCATCAAAGATGACATCCCTTGAAACTATAACTTTTCCTGATGGCAAAAGAACTTTGTATCCTTTGTGTTGTGAGCTGAAACCAATGAATGTTGATGGTAAGGATTTGGGTTGCAATTTATGTTTGTTGTATGGTCTGAAGTTGGGGTAACAAAGGCAGCCAAATACTTTGAGAGTGGAGTAGTTTGGTTTGTGGCCATATAAAGATTCTAGAGTTGAGGTGAAGTGTAGGGACTCTACAGGAAGTCTATTTAGGATGTAAATAGCTGCACTAAAAGCATCATCCCAGTACTTGAGAGGGACATGGGAATGATATAAGAGAGCAAGCCCTATTTCTACAATAGTTCTATGTCTCCTTTCTGCAACTCAATTCTGAGCAGGTGTATAAGGACAAGAAAGCTTGTGGTTGATGCCAGATTCAGAGAAGATTGAGGTAAGAGCTCTAAATTTTCCTCCCCAATCACTTTGTATGGCCTTTATCTTGTGATTGAGTTGATTTTCAGCTAGATTTTTGAAATGAAGGGAAGCATTCTTAACCTCAGACTTGAATTTGAGAAAGTATATCCAGGTATATTTAGTATAATGATCAACAAAGCACACATAATATTGATGGCCATTTCTGGATTTAATGGGGGATGGCCCCCACACATCAGTGTGAACAAGTTCAAGAGGAGATGTATAAACAGCATCAGAAGAGACATAAGGTAAAGAATGAGCCTTAGCTTGTTGACATGAGCAGCAAATAAACTTGTCATTAGCAGAAACTAAAACATTACATGTTCTCATTACTTTAGAAACAACATCAAAAGCAGCATGTCCTAGTCTAGAGTTCTAAAAAGCCAAATCATTGTTCTTATTAAAAGTAGCAACATGTGCTGAAAATAAAGGAGAAGTGGCATGCTGCAGAGGCACTTGTGGTGAGGAGTGTGAGCAGTTGATATCAAAGCTGTAAAGACCTCTTTTAAGTGAACCTTGGAGAAGAACCTGGTATGTGGCTTGATCCTTAACAAAACAAAGAGTGGGATAGAATTTAAAAAAGACTGAGTTATCATGAGCAAACTGAGAGGCACTCAACAAATTCTTTGTAATGTTAGGAACATGAAAAAGATTTTTGAGAATAAATGATCTAGATGGATGTGAGGGATGTTGAAAGTTTGAGTTGCCAATGTGTGAGTAGACAAACCTGAACCATTACCAACATGCAGTCTGTTATTCCCTTGATACTCAGTGGCAAAGTTGAGGTTGGATAGTTCATTGGTAACATGATTAGAGGCACCTGAGTCTGCAAACCAAAAGGAATCTGGGTTTGGACCAGGTGAGACAACTAGTGCACTGTGTGGAGAGGGCATGGGAGATACAAGTGGGCCAGTGACTTGAGTCTGAGCAATTTGAGCTTGCATAGTGGTAGGTGGTGGGTAAAAAGAGTCATATCTGTGGTAACATCTATCTGCAGTGTGATTGTTGAGACCACAAAGTTGACAAGATGGTCTATTGTTGTTCCTAAAGCCTCTACCTCCTCTTTCTCTATAATTATTTGATCTGCTCTACCTCTTTGAGATGAGGAAAATCCTCTTGAGTGTAAGAAATTAAGGAACTGAGTGGGTGGTTCCTGAGCAGAGGGGTTGTGCGAGGCCACATTCACACTGGGAATAAAACCATCTGAGTTCACAATGGACTGTGTAGTGACATCAAGCCTTGACTTAAGACTAAGAAACATGGCATAGAGTTCAAGGTGTAGGGCTCCACTCTTGAGGTAACTTCCACTACAGTTGGATTGTATTCACTTCCTAGGCCTGCAAGAATATAGATAATGTGGTTCTGCTAAAAGACAGGCTCACCAGCCACCCCTAGAGAGTCACAACATGCTTTGACTTTGCCAAGAAATTCCCTCATGGTGCTTGATCCCTTCTTCAATGTTTGCAGCTGGAGTTTATGATGCATTAGCCTGGCCTTAGAGAGGCCTGAGAAATTAGACTCCAGTGACAGCCACACATCTCGAGATGTATTTTTACCTACCATCATGATGAGTAGGTTTTCACTCAAAGAGGATAATAACCATGACATTAGAAGTTGGTCTTGTCTCAGCCATGTTGCATACTCCGGGTTTAGGGCGGGATGGGATGTGTTTTCAAATGAAATGAA